TACCTTAATAAGTGCACACTCGAGTTGGCTAATGGATAAGGTACATTCATATACTTCTGAAAGACAAGAATCACCAGGCTCTTTATCAGCTTATATTTCTGACCAGAATATACCAAATAAAACATGTGTGAAATAATGAGAATTAACTCCTATGTAAAAATATTTTTAATGTCAAAAAACTAAATCAAATAGACATTATTAAGCAAAGTGTTATTATTGCTCAACAAAATGGTCAAGAGGTGAACCAGTAAAGCTCGAAGCTTATCTTGCATTTGAGTGCTCTTATGTTGAAGAACATGTTCAGCAATTTTATCTACTTCATATAGCCTGTCATGATAACTTGAAAGAGCAATCTAAACATTCAATTAATTCAAAAAGACAAAAATTAAATAATCAGCATGGTCTTACAAAATTTTTTCTACAAAAAACTTGAGATGGTTTGTCTGAAAAATAAATTAATGCCATAAATATTGCATTATTAAAAGCTTTTGTGGTGTGCAGTATTTTATTTTCTATTATTGAAAACTCATTTTTTATTGACTTGCTTCAAACTTTGTGCCCGGAATATCAACCACTATCACAAGAAGTTTTAGCAGAACGATTATTGGACCAGGAGTACTCTAAAGTTGTAATTAAATGTGAGGCTATTTTTCATAAATCAAATAATTTTATTATTGGTATGCTGTATTTTATTGTTAAATAATAATCTTACTATTGGAATGCTGTATTTTATTGTTAAATTATATTTTATTGCTTTTACTAAATTACTCTATATTCTTTATAGTATTTGATGAGTGGATGTCACCTAATAGAAACTCTATATATAGTTTTGTTCTTTTAACATCAATGCACAATAAATTTTTATATTCATTATACAATTTTTCTACAAATTCATATACTGCTGAATTTCTTCAGAGAAAATTGATACTGTTCTGGGTGAAATTGAATATGATAAAATTATAGCAATTATTACAGATAATGCCAATAATATGAAGCTTGCTCGACAAATTATTTATGAAAAACACCCAAAAATTTTAAACTTAAACTGTATTGCACATTGTATTAATCTCATATCTAAAGATATACTTAGTAAGTATTAAAAAAATATAATTGATTATTCTAAAATTTTATAATCTAATCATTAACATATTATTTTTTTAGAGCATACATTTGCTTTATGTTTTATAAAAGGGTGTAATGAAATTATAAAATATTTTAACAAATCATACCAGCCAAATATATATTTGCAACAAGCAATTCATGAGTTGAATATTTCTGGTGGTGGATTAAGAAAATTTGTAGATACAAGGTGGACTTCAGTATATGAATGTACCTTATCCATTAGCCAACTCGAGTGTGCACTTATTAAGGTAATATATTATTCTATTAATTAATGTATTTTATATTAATAAGTAACTAAATATTTACTATGTATATATTTATATATAGATTATGAATGAGAACCCAAACTTAATTACAAATCGTACTGTTAAACAAATTTTAAGGCAACCATATTTTTTTTTCAGACCTTAAAATATTAGTTAAAGTTTTATCTCCAATTCGAACTGATACAAAATCGGTCCACCATGCATATCGGTTTGGGGAGGTTCAACAGTATTAAGGTTTTTTCTTCTTAATATATACATGATTATATATATTTATATAATTTATATTTTATAAATATTATTAAATAAAAAAATTTAAATTATTTCGTGATCCGTCTGGCAACCAGTGAAAACCTGTAAACTGCGGGGATATGCTTACTATGCAATTTTTGCTTTTTTTGGAATCTAGCATTTCCCTAGAGATAAATCGATTTCGTAATAAGCAAACTTCTCTTGTGCATATAACAAATGTTGTAGAGGAGGAAATTACGAGCATAATGGTAGCTGAAACATCGAAATTGACCTAGTAAATCGTGAGATATGGGCATTTTCGTCTTTACGACTATCTGTTTACTTATTTGTTAACATCATATCAGATATAGGTGTGAGGACTAGTGATGTGCTATTTATATGATACCTGAAAAATTTTAGCGTACAGTACGTACAGTACGTACTGTACGTATAGTTCTTTTTCAGGCATCTGATTGGCTGGAACAAGTGATCGGCAAAAATTTTAGCGTACAGTACGTATAGTACTGTACGCGGCACATCACTAGTGAGGACAAATACGCCTATATCTCACGACTCACTAGGCCGATTTTAGTGTTTCAGCTACCATTATGCTCTATTTTTCTCCTCCACAACGGTTATTATGCGCATGAGTTTTTTATAGAACGAAATCGATTATCTTTAGGGCAACGCCAGATTCTGAAAAATCACCGAAAATCACATGATTTTTCACTAGTTCCCAAGCGGATCACGAATTAAATTAAATTATATCTATAAATAATTAATTAAAAATTAATATAATAAACTGCATTTATTAATATATTACTAATTTGATATAATAATATTTATTAAAATAGATTAAATATTATATTAATTGTAATATAGACTAATGTTAAAAAAATTTTAAAATATAACTACTAAAGCAACTTTATTATTTCAGTACTATACGTACTGTACGTACTGTACGCTAAAAAAATTTGGACATCATATAAATGGCACATCACTAGTCACACCCTCTTTATAAGCACACTAATTTTTAGAATAAACTTATATAAAATATAAGAAATTTGATCTCTATATAGGCACAATTTCTTATAAGCACAGAATTTCTTAGAACCGAAGGCGTGACTGTAGAAAGTTTTTATTATGATGTCGTTATATCCAGGCGTCTGCATAACCAAAGTGATGTGTATAAATACGATATTATGAATAAATATTTGTAACAAAATATAATTAGATAACTCTAAACGCACTCTATATGGACTGACACATATACAATACTATAGTTTATGTAAAACAATGCAACTATTCAGGATGCAACAAAAAACACTTAATATACATATTAGCTCATGATTTGAGTGTGTGGTCATTTCTTATATAGTAAGATTCAGCCACTATTGTAAATGGATTTCAATGATAATAGTTTTTTATAATTTAAACTTTAATAAAATGTGATTGTATGTTTAGTTCTTCATATGTTTATGCGGCGATATTGTTACTGTAATGGCTCTTCTAATAATCGGTGTCTTATTATAAACGATTGTATTTCCCTTTTCTTGACAACTTACTCTGTTCTTACTGCGTTTACTTTATTCGCTTTATTATATAAACATCTGTATACAATAGACTTTTAAATTATTATGATTCTTACACTACTTGGCCGTCCTTTTACCGCAGTAGCATTTTAACAAAAGATAAAAAAAATAAAAGAAATATGTACAAAGTATATATACGTATAATAAAGAGAAAATGTATATAAATTAAAAAAAAAAAAAGATCCACCAACATATGTACCCCTAGTTCGGTTTAGTATCCTAGGTACACGTGCGGAATATATTTTTATGGATACAAATATTTTTCTCCTGGTACAGAAATATGATAGTATCTTATTTAGGTATCCAGGTTTAAGTTAAAAAAAAGAAACAATGACATATTTAAAGTTTAATTATGTCATCATTAAGCCAATCTAGCTGATAATATTACACTACAGCATACGCCTCACTTCTATTTCTTGTGCGCAGTTCAATTTTCTGCGTAGATATATCTCATTGTAACGCCCAATCAGAACATTGTACAGATAAAATATTGTATTACAGTGATGATCATTTGGGATATAAAGCAAAAATCGCCTTAAAAAGCTAATGCTAATTATGTGTTTACTTGTAATGATTATGTATCAAGTCACTATTGATATGCAATTTTGATAGTATGGCATTTATATTACAGTACACAATTTCAATGTGTAAACGGAATTGATGATTCCGATCTATTTATATATTAGCAAACTGACATGACAGTAAAATATTATTTTTAAACTTGATAAATAACTGTAATGGATTGTATGTTTTATTTAATATTTTCAATTGAATAATCTTGGGATAATTACAGCAAACTGGTTTTGATAAATGGTCGATAAATCTTTAACGTTAAATATATTTGAATGTATATTTCACAGATGAAACTATTGCAAAAAAAATTATGCCCGATCTTGGTCATCAGATTAAAGATTTTAAATATTATACTTGGCATGTTACTGATTGGAGAAATTTAGAAAGGAAGTTAACAAGTCCTGAATTCGAAGCCGGCAGTTGGAAATGGTATATGAAATTACTTTTGAATTGACTTGAATATACATGATATAAATGGGTTACTAATTTTTAAATGAATATAGGCGACTTTTGCTTTTTCCCTTTGGAAATTTTAATTATGATGAAAATTCTACGGATAATATTGCGGTTTATTTGGACTTTGTTGACACACAAGAAGCGTATAATGGTTGGCATATCTGTGTGCAATTTGCTTTGTTGCTATGGAATCCAGAAGAACCAACGAAATTCATTAGTCAGCGTACGTATATTACTGTATAATAATAATATTAATTTAATTAAATTTCGTAATTAATATAATACTATATATATAGATACGTATCATCTTTTTACTGCCGATGAACTCGATTGGGGTTTTGCAAAATTTTATGATAGGAATAAACTGTTTATCACATCTGATGAGCGAACTCGTCCATTAATTGAAAATGACTCCTGTAATATAACAGTCCTCGTCCGTATTCTCGAGAATCCGACAGAATACATGTACTTAAATAATCAAGGAATAAATACTTTCTTAAATTCGGTGATACATTCTCTTTACCATATAAAATATTTTCGTAAGGTTGGTTTTATCCTATTTAAAAATATTCTGAATTGTTAGATATTTGTAGAAACGATATTTCTTTATATATATACGATCCAGATTATTATTCATTAATTTCCTGTAATCTTGACATACTGATTGGTGAATTTTTTTTTACCAAGTCTGATAGTGAAAATATTTACTTTATTATAGGCAGTATATCAAATTCCTATGAAAGATTATAACTCAGTTAGAAGCATTTCATCAGCTTTGCAATGGACTTTTTATCAATTAAATGTTTCAGATGCTCCAGTTAAAACGACAGAGTTAATAAAATTTTTTGGATGGAATAAATTTTTTATAAAAGATGTTAGAGAATTTTTTAAAATATTGCGAGATGATCTTGAGGATAAGTTGAAGGTAAAATATTTATTTTATTATAATTCAACTATTACATAATGTGTATTTAAATGACGTTGCATGCTTTTAGCATACAAAAGTAGATGGTGCAATTTCTAAACTCTTTGCTGGAACGATAAAAACTTGGATCAAATGCGTTAACGTAAATTGTGAATCTTTACGCGCTGAAGATTACTATGGTAGGTAAACAATAAGTTATAGATATTGACTAGTAATTATTAATAATAGTAATTTATTTCGGTAGATATTCAACTCGATATTAGAGGATGTAAAACTCTAGATGATTCTTTCATGAAATATATACAAGAAGAAACTTTAGAAGATGATAATAAATATGATGCAGAAGGTTATGGCTTACAAGTAAGATTAACATTATCTGTTCTATTTCTAAGACAAATCTTAATGTGATACTATCGTGATACTATATTTGTAGGTTGCCAAAAAAAGAGTAATCTTTGAAAGTTTCCCACCTGTATTGCATTTGCATTTAAACCGATTTGAATATGATGTGCATAGTAATAACACGGTTAAGGTAAGCGTATTTTAAATCTTTATAATTCTAATACTATTATCGTTATGGTTTTTCTGATAATAATTTTAATATGTTATAGTTAAATAATCGCTATGAAATTCCCATTGAAATTGATTTACAAAAATATTTGTCACCGGATGCAGACAAGTCGCAATCATATAAATATTTGTTACATGGGTTAGTGAAGAATTAATTCTTTACATTGCAAATGTTAAAAAAATATTTTTATATAGATTATTTCCTTATATGTTTTTATCACAAATAGTGTACTTGTTCGGGATGATGACAATGATTGTGAGGAAGATCGCTATTTTGCATTTTTAAAACCTGAAAAAAGTAACAGATGGTTTGTCATGTTTATATTTACTACTTCATTTATCTTATGTGCATTTATGTATAATGCACGCTAATTCGTTACGTATTTGGGTTTTAATACGTATTAAGGATAAAGTTTGATGACCGAGTTACACCAGCATCAATTAACTACGGTTATGAAGGCTTATTGCAGTCTAAGAATGCTTATATGTTAATATATATTCGTGAATCCAATATTGATGAGATATTGACTCCAATTTCTTCTGAAGATATGCCAATACATCTACGTACGTCCATAATGAGAGTGAATTTTCTCTATTTAATTTTTATTAATTAAACATATTATATTATAGGAAGTCGCCTAGATGACGAAAATGCAGCATATAAACAAATAAATGAAAATTTAAAAGAAAATAATCCATATTTACAAACTTGGGTAACTTTAAATTATACATTAACAATATTGATTATCAGAATAATTTTCTAATTTACTATTATTTAGATTGTGACCGAAAATATAGTTAGGAATCATAAAGGATTTGGTCTTGTTAATTTTGATAATCAGAAATATCCATTATCTGAGATTCCGCAATTTAAAATTTTGAAAGAAGATACCTACGGTACTTTTAAAAAGATGATAGCTACGAAGTATAAAATTCCTACTGATCGAATAAGGTTCTGGACCATTATAAATCGACAAAACAAAACTGTTAGGCTGCATGAGCCTATAAATGACGATTATCTTGACAAATGTATGTTGTTTTAAATATCTATACTACATACAATAATCATGTTTTAAATTCATTGTGTTTTATTAATTTTTTCTACTAGCAATGGACGAAATCAAAAAGAAAATGAAAAGATGTAATGAGTTAAGATTGTATATGGAAATATTGGGAAACACAATAAATTTCAAGGTAATAATATCTCCCATAAATTCTACATTTTTTGATATATATCTAATTTTAATTCTCAATTTGTACAGAAAGGATGTTTACAAACTGGTGCGATTATTATTTTTATTAAATATTTTAATCCTGATTCAGAGTCTTTAGAGTATATAAATTTAATTTAATTGATATAATAGATTATTATGTTGAAATATTGCGAGTGTTAATACAGCTTTTATCCATATAATTAGGAACCTTGGTCAGTTATATGTTCAAAAAAAGGTGCAGAATAGATAGCATTTTCCCTATTCTCTGCAAAAAAAAGCAATTCCCATCAAATACGCCTTTGAATATATATGAAGTAAGTCAATTCTAACAATTTACGTATTATAATAGTTTACATTTGTACATGGTTATCAAAATATATTTATTTACTATCTTTTCCAAAAATAATAGGAAATTACGCCACATATGATTAAAAAAATAGTACCAAAATTTACATTTATCAAGTCTAATATACAAAACGGTGATATAATATGTTTCCAAAAAGCATTAAATAATAAGGAGTATGCCACTGTATTAAAATTTATTTTTTACTAAAATACAAAGTAATTTAAGAATAATTAAGATCGTTTTCATCTTAATTAGGATTGAAAAGTATACATTAGCAGGACGCATAAATAACATTCCTCAATTTTACGAACTATTATTGGAAAATGTTATCGTCAGATTTAAATCAAAGTTTGGATATCGAGATCCAATACCCGAATTTGATTTAGTTTTAAATAAAAATATGCCATATGAAGTTGTACGTTAAATTATCTAATGTTACTTGTTATGTATTATTACAATTATTTTATATCTAATTGAATTTATTTTCCTGTTTATATAGGTGGCTAATCATGTTGCAACTTATCTTAACGTTGATTCTTCTAGATTACGTTTCACATTAATAGATTCATCTGCAAACAAAGGGGAGATAAACAGAACTACCAATCAGACATTATCAGAAATTCTTCAATTTTCAGAAGATCTATATTACGAAGTGCTTGACAATTAGTATCTATATTACAATGTTTATTGTCAAAATTCATAAAGTGATTTTTAATATCGTATCAACTATTATAATAATCCACTTTTAAGAAAAGATTTGCAAAATGTATAAGAACATTTTATAAATACATAACTAAATTGTTAAATTTTTTTGATTATTTGTACATAGTTAATATAAGCAATTTCAAGGCAATAAAATTTTACATGACTAAATTCTTTTTAATTTGTTAAAAATAAATACTTTTAAACTTTCCAAAACCAATCTTATAAAAATCAATAACCTGTCAAATCCAATAAAAAATATTTAGTGACGACTGTAAAACGGCGAGTCTGTCGCTAATCGATCCGAGACGTCGTGTTCGGCTTAGTCGAAGAGAGGCGTTTAGATTTGGCAAGTGGTGAGTTTGGGTCGTAGGTATAACTTCTTTTGGCTAATATGGTGTCCTTTATAATAGATTCTAACGCTTATAATTTCTATCCACAATATTATCACAAACCACGGCTTGAGTTCTCCCACAAAGACTCAAGACTACAGAATCCACAGTCCGTCGGGAAACTGGAAAAACAACTATCTTCGTCGAGACAGTTGGAAAATAATACCACGGCTGCTCTCAGTACTGTAACGGTTGAATGGGAGAGCGGGGTACAATTATAGACAATAGTGCCAATTTGAAGTACGGAAATAGAAGTTTATATAAACTATTTTGGTTATGGGTAAGACTTAATGGAATCGATCTTAAGAGCAATCACGATATTAACTCTGTTCCTAAGATGATTTTAAGGAATTCTGATATCTAAACTGATACGTTATTGTGGATTTAGACTTGACAGTTTTAAAATCGCTGATGCTGGTGATGCCAAAGAAGGTGGGGGTTGTTATTTTCACGTTTCTAGCTAAACTTTTCTTAGACGAAAGAATTTCCAGACACTGTTCACGTGACCAAGTTTCGAAAAGGCAAGGTGACGGTTACACGAAATTTCGAGTCTTAATAAAACTTTCGAGGTTACAAGTCAATTCAGTCCGTCGAATTGAGTTACAAAGGTTTATTAAAGTTCAAGTCGAAATTCAAAGATAAGTATTTACTTTATTACTTTTTTATTATTGCAAAGGACGTGGAACTCCTTTTCCTTTTATTAAATTTAAGGTCTTATATACATTTTGAAAGCTTACAACAATTTCACGGTAATCTCAGCACTTTGACTAAATTTTCTATTCAATCGTGGACGTGTTAGTGGTCATAACTGCATGCTCACTGTATTAACTGCGTACTTGCAATGCGTCTGATTTTTATGCATCTAAGCCACTAAGCCACTACAACTTCCATATTAGTATAATTGATTAATATATACCAGTACGATCATATGAAATATGAGAGGGATGGTTTGAATAATGTTTTTTGCTGTGGCCTATGCTGATTTTGAAAAAATCCTATTTTAGAAAGGGTAATGATTTTCATTTATCCATT